GGGTTAGAATCAACGCAAGACCCCAAAACGGCGAGTGCAAAACGAAGTGAATGTCGCATGGGTTCTTTCTAGTCTTCATTCCTGGCCCCGAAAACTCCGCGCGAAGTTCACTTCGAAATCCGGCGGAAGATACGCGGACGCGTGGGGAAAGCGTATCATGGGGCTCTTTTCCTCCAACGCAGCTCGAACAGAAGGGCCTGCGGGTATGCTACGAATTGATGGCGCCCGAATCACTCAAGATCCCGAGCACGCCGCCTGGCCGAGCGGGGGCGCGGGTGGTGAGCCCGCTCCTCCTCGGACACCCCTCGGGCCACCACTCCCCCCAGGGCCCTAACAAGTGAAACTTAAACCCGCAGTGCCTCGACGCGTAGTCGCGGAGGCCTAGACTCGCGCCAATGGCGCGTCTAAGCAGTACACGGCTCAAGGCCCTCCTCGGACCACACCCCCTGTTCTCTCGGTCCCACGGGCTGGAAACGGGGGCGGGTCGTCCACCAGGTGTACTTGTTGACCCGGCTCTGGGTGGCTACCGTCCTTCGGCGGTCGCCATGTCTAGTCTCGAGCTTCACTGCAGGCTCGCTCGACCCCTCGATCGGAGCACGCTGTGGCCTCCCGCCGTCGCCGCCGCGCGGCACGGCCCCCGCGCGGCACCAACTCGGCCCCGCACACGGACAAACCCAGCAAGTCAAGGGAAACCCGACCAAAGCAAGCAGGAACCCTAGGCCCACGCCCGCCATCAGCAGAGTCAGGCTCACGTAGTTGCCCTCAGTCGTGACTCCTGGCACGGCCACTGGGGTCAGCGCACCCCCGTCCATCTCCTGCGGCGCCTCGCACAGCTCGGTCGAGCTTCCCTGCGCCGCAGTAGGAAGCGACGCGGCCACTGCAAGCAATACCTTCGACAGGGCCGACTGGGCCTGGAAGTCGGCCGGCATGGCCCCGACTCCAGCTACCCTCGAGGCCCATGGCACGGGCACCTCCTTCCACCCGCAGCTCTCGCGGGGCCACTCGAGGCGTGTCCTCGGCAAAACCTTTGCGCCGAGATCCGCCAGGTTGTCGTCGCCAGCGACAGGCTCGATGGTGATGACCTTCTTGGCCACCAACTGCTGGATCCAGAGCGTCTTCGCGACAAGGTGCTTGATCCGCTCAGTGCCCTGACGCCTCGCCAGCGCTCTCGCACTCGAGCTGTCGCATCGCCAGCTCACGCGCACGCTGTAGCCCATGAACACGAAGAGCGCACTCAGCCCAAGTCCTTCGCTAAGACCTCGGGCTCCAGCGTGCCACTCGGCTTCGCAGCTGCTAAGGGACTGCACGTATTGTCGGCAGCTGATCCCGAGCATTGGACACCCACGCGCAGTGATGCGCACGCTGGTCTGGCTCTTCCGCTCCTTCGTGTCGCCTGCCCAGTCGGAGCCTGTCCACGCGACCAGGTCGACGATGTCCCGCGGCGCGGTGGGCTTGGCCATCCTCGCGCCCAGGCCCCTCGTGCCCTTCAGGTACCTTGCCTACCTCTTGAGGGCTCGCATGTCCGCCTCACGGGGCGATGAGACGCACGAGGTCAGGTAGTTGATGTCGAACTGAGCATCTTCACGGTCATGAGGGTAGAACAGCAGGCACATGGCCACGCCCCCGAACAATTCAGCCCCTGAGGTCGGGCGCGTCACCCCGGCCTGTCCTGCGAGCCTCCACCCCTGGGGTGGCGCACGGGTTGCCCTACTCAAGGCCTGGCGCCTCCAGCGCCTTCGTGAGGTACTTCTCGTTATGCTGCACGTAGGTAGCGTCGGCCTCCCGCACGCGCCGCCTCTTGAGAAACTCGCAGTCGGCACCGTCGCCCTGTAGGCCCGGCCACTTCACCTCGATGTCACGGCCCAGGTCCAGCACGAAGCCGGACCCTGCAACTCCAGGCAGCGCGCCGTACATGTCGCCCATGTGTAGCTCCACCAGACATGGGAGCTCGGCGCGCCAGAAGAACTGGGGCGCGGTCGGTGGCCGCTCGAAGCCTCTGGCCATGAGCTGCTCCGCGGCGAACTCGACCCAGCGCTTCCCTCCAGCACGCCGCCCTGGCAACTGCTTCGCGACCTGCCAAACGTAGTCCTCAGCGCCGCCCTTCGCGCGGCACTCTTCCAGGACTTCGGGCGGGCACACGACCCGCGCGCCCTCCTCCTCGGGGACATGGTAGCACGCATCCTCCGCGTCAACAGCGAAGATGGGCCACCCGTGCTTCAGAGCCACAGAGTCCACCACTCGGCTGTCGGGCATGCTGCTCCCTGGCGCAAAAAGGTCGTCGCGGTACTCCTGCCACTTGAACTCTCGCGCGACGCACCTTGACTTAGCGATCCTGCATCCGAGGTGCGCGCCCCACTTGTAGACATGGCCCCAGCGGGCGCTGATCCTCTTGCCGGCGGCCCCGCCCCGCTTGACGAGCTTGCCCACCCCACACTGTCCCAGGCCGTCAAGGGCCCGTCTGGTGGAAGCCTCAATCAACTGCATGTCCGACGCATCGTGG